GGTGGCGCAGGGATTTGTGCATGCACAAAATTTTTTTTTTTATGCACAAATTTTTTGTGCCGAATTTTCAACACTGCTTTTACGTTTACCTTTTTATGCAGACATAAATTTAATTAGGGCTAAATGGGTCCGTGTTATTTTGCCGACAATCATTTCACCAACAGCTCATTTAGCCGACATCACGCCAGGTGAAATTTAGTAAAAATATATACTTGCAACCAATCAAATGCTTAACCCTAACCCTATGTGATGTCGGCTAAATGAGCATTCGGTGAAATGACTGTCGATGAATTGATCGGAACCTTTAACGCTTCTGATTGAAAACCCATCTGGCTTTCAATTTTATAACAAATCCCTGAAAATTGTCTTGTTATTTTTGATGAAATGTCATAGATAATCTATGACGTTTTACTGAAGTGACTAAGATAATAATTTTTAGTGGTTTATTATAAAATTGAAAGCCCGATCTATTAATCGGTCAGAAGGGCTGTATCAAATAAATAATCAATAATATACTTAATAGCTCGAAGTGGCCATTTTCCTTTGACAGCGCTCATATTTAACCTACAATAAATAAAATTACTACCTTTACCCCGTGCCGGAGGCACGTGCTTACGCTAATAAATTACATACAAAACTAAGATATCACAAACTTATGACGTAGTCTGTTTCTTTCACGTAATAATAAAAGCGTATAAAATCTAATCAAATATCAATTTCCAAACTACTACGTAAATCTATGTTAATAAACATTATATTTCTTAGCACCCTTTAAAATAATAAAGCACTTTTTTTTACTACCTTAACATTTAGTTGGCGTTTAACATACAGTTTTCGCTTTAACTTATATATATATATATATATACGTTCTATTGCTTTAAAAGGAATGATAAAAGCAATTCATTAAATATATATTTTCTATTAATATAGATTTAATAATTTGGTCAATATATTAATAACAACACCTTGCGACGCTTTATCTTGTTAAATTACATAATAGATTTCTGTTTACTTGACTGCAGAAAATTCGGGTGACGCAGGGGAAGATGTTTAATTATAGCATATCATGTGGACAAAACGATAAAAACTTGAAGAGTAAGTCAAAACTTTATTAGTTAAAACAGTAAAATACTGCGTATTTATATTAAAATAGTATACAAACTGATATACTGACTCAAATTTTTTTTATACATATATGTATACTATATACTTTTTTCTTTCTTATTGGTCTATACACCGTTTTTTATAGAATTAACTATTATGTGCAATACTGTACCGATAATATCTAAGGAGCACGCCTGAGGCATGTTGTAGACAATGGCATACTTTCCCACGCATGCTATACATGACATAAAAACTATTTCAGCTTTGCCGAAAGTATTTCGGTATTGAATTTTGATATGAGCTTTCTAAGTTATTTCGGAAATAACTCAGAAATTTGGTAAAGCCGAAATAGTTTCTACGGAATTTATAGTGCATGCATATTCCAAAATTTCCATACCTCCAAACCTAGATATAAGTTGAAACAAAAATTAAGGTCTAAACAGAAAATTTAAATTATTTTTTTTTTGATATTTTGTAGTGGGAATAAAGCACTATGGAGGCAACAAATTGGCAGCCCTATGACTGATTAAATAACGTTGATTTCAACATTAACAAAATAGAAACGATATCATTAATACAAACAGAAAGATATACGCAAATATTTATGTAGAAAATTTATGAGTTTATTATTTCTTATATTTTTAACTTATATCGGATTTGTATGTTGCACATTTGAAATCAGATTGAATAATAATCAAGACCATGTATATTCTTAAAGGATGAAAAACTTTTTATATTGACTGTAATTACTGCTTTAATAAATTCGTGTCTAGATGCATTTTCTATCTTTGAAAACAAGAATTGTTACGAACAGACTGTAAGTAAAAAAAACAAGAATTGTTACGAACAAACTGTAAGTAAAAAAACAAGAATTGTCACGAACAGACTGTAAGTGAAAAAAACAAGAATTGTTACGAACAGACTGTAAGTAAACAAAAACAAGAATTGTTAATTACTATGTAATGTCACGAACAGACTGTAAGTTAATTAGTGGAACTAGCTATATAAATTTTATTTATAATAAAGGATGAGGATGAAAAAAATACAGTAAGAATAAACATGAGAAATGAATTTTATGTATAAAAATATAAATGAAAAATAATATATTCTAATTAAAGAAAAAAATGTTATGATAATGAAAACATTTACATTTGATATAGCAAAATTAAATTAACCAAATTCCATCAACTAAACACCAATTATTTATTACACCACGCTAATTTAATTTTACCAGAATATTTAGGGATAATATAAAGGTTCTTCAAAATAATTATCAACAATTGTTAAGTTATTTGAAAGGAATTGTTGAATGTAATCTTGCGGATTTGTGTCAAAAAAATAATTGTTCTCAGAAGAAAAGCCAATATTCATAGGAGTTTGAGGGGAACAACTTTCAATAGTAGGCGTAGTAACTTGCAAATTTGGATTATTAGAATCAAGAACACAATTATTAGTGGACATCAACTCACAATGGATAACAGAAGATGGCGGTGAATGATGCCAAATATTTTCATTAGAGTCAAATTTTTCGGTCTCATAGCAGCCTTTTTTCGTTTTAGGATAAATTTTGATTTGTCCAGGAAAGTTTTTCTTGATATTTCTTTTTCGATTGATTGATGATGAATTTTTGATTTTTAACTTTTCAGACTTTCTCTTCTTTTCACGAGAAGATTTAATTTCTGAATTATTATTATTTACATTAGATTGTTTTTCATGTTGTTCGGTTGTGGAAAAAGAAGGAGTATCAGGATCATGGTTGTTTTCTAAAATTCTAGAATTACTTTTTTTAAATTCATTATAAATTTTCCTCATTTCAGTAATTTGTTCGTTTGTTGTTTCCGGATTGACCATTTCA